GGCCTATGAAGCGGTATATAAGTCTACTGCTATTGCTATTGCTATTGCTATTGCTATTTATTTAGAGTGGCCCAGCATAAGCTTGTCATCTGCCTGGAGCGTTTCTTTTTTTAAATTATGGATTTTCTGTTTAGCTGCTGATCCAAGAACTCACCTAACTCCTTTTCTACAATGTTGCATATATAAAATTTAAGGTTTAAAATTAAATGGCAGGTTTATATTTATCTCTTTTTTTAAAGCAAAAAAAAAAAAAGTTTATCAGTAGTAAAGTTGGGAAATTTCCCAAGCAGGGAATCTAGGGGAAAGAGCCAAAAGGATTAGCATTATTGAAATTATTTCAACTTTGATACAAAGAAAGGATACCAGGTGAGCTGTCCCCTGAAAGATATTGAGTGACAGCAGGAATTTTGACATTACTAACTCAGCAGGTGGTGGGCTTTGAGTGTTAAACCCAGATGGTTTCTCAGATAAACACAACCCATGCTACCTATATAAATACAATAGTGGCATTCACCAGTTTTTTTCATTAGAAATCTTTTGAAGTAGAAACAGTAGTTCCAAATTTGACATGCATTGTTCTGGCTCACCAGAATGACAGGTAGTCGTTGACTTATGATCACAATTGAGTCCAAAATTTCTGTTGCTAAGTGGGACATTTGTTAAGTGAGTTTTGCCCGGCTTTACGTCCTTTCTTGGCACAGTTGTTAAGGGAATCACCGGAGTTGTTAAGTTAGTAATACGGTTGTTACATGAAACTGGCTTTCCTATTCACTCTGCTTGTCAAAAGGTCGCAAAAGGTGATCATGTGATCTCAGGGCATGGCAACCTTCATAAATATGAGTCAGTTGCCAAGTGTTTGAATTCTGATCATGTGACTGTGGGGATGCTGCAATGGTTGCAAGTGAAAAACGGTCATAAGTCACTTTTATGACTTATGGGAATCGTTGCAGTTGTTCAGTTAATAAGATGGTTGTTAAATGAATCTGGCTTCCCCCATTGACATTAGTTGTCAGAAGTTCCCAAAAGGTGATCAAATTCCCCAGGGCAGTGCAACCATCCTATAAAATATGATTGAGTTGAGAAGCGTCTTAATTTTGATCACATGGCTATGAGGATGTTGTAACGGTCGTAAGTATGAAAAATGGTCATAAGTCACTTTGTTTCATGCCATTGTAATTTTGAATACTCACTAAATGAGCTGTTGTAAATCGAGGACTACCTGCATTCTGAAGCGCTTTGGATTATTTCAGAAGTATTCCGAGCCCCGAATACCTCTACTTTGGCTGAACCATAGGACTAATTCCAATGAGGTCAGAAACTACCTAAAAGACACTCTTTCCATTTGTTGTATCTTATTCAAGTCTTGGCCCATCAAAACAGATTTTGCCAAACGCTAAATCTGTGACTCACGCCGTGGTGGAATTCAATTTTTTTAAATACCGGTTTTTGGTGGGCGTGGCAGGGGAAGGAAACTGCAAAATCCCCATTCCCACCACACTCTGGGACCAGTCAGAGGTGGTATTTGCTGGTTCTCCGAACTACTCAAAATTTCCACTACTGATTCTCCAGAACCTGTCAGAACCTGATGAATTTCACCCCTGCTCACGCCCCCAAATATCAGGAACCATCGCAGCTCATAAGAGTTGGCATTACCTGTGACAGCTTTGCAGCTGGTTGGATCATCAGGCTTCAGAATGTAACCATCTGCACACATGCACTTGAAACTTCCATGAGTGTTGATGCAAATCTGGCTGCAGGGGAAGGTGGTTGTGCACTCATCAATGTCAATGCAAGTCTTGCCATCATACTTCAGCTGGAACCCAGGGCGGCATCTGCACTGCAGGGGCAGCAGAAAGTCATTACATGTTTATAGGGAGGGCCCTAGGAAATGCAATCTCTCTCTTGCTCACTGGGGGAAAAATATTTTTTTTCTCCCTGACTTTGTCCTACAACAAACTCAACTGGCAGGCTATGGATAGGCAGAAGATACATATGGATCTCTTGATAGTTCTCAACCAGGATCAATCATTCCCAACTAGTCAATTGTAAGAGTAAATTTTTCCCTTCAGCAATTCCACTGAAGACCGTGCGAGCCTGAAACCTTTCCAAGGACATTATACCAGGTGTGGCGTTGAAGTAGACGGTTCCCATAAGAAAGTGAACTTGTTTACATGGACTACGTAAGAGGTTGGGGGTTTGGCTGGGGAAAGTATTGTTTAAGTCTATGAACTGGTGTCTGGGAATCTCAGAGTTAGTTTTGCTTCAACATTACCATGCAATGTATTCAATAGACAGTAAGAAATTCCAAAATGGAATGAATCTGGAGTTTTATTTGGATTCTTGAGCTGGATGTTGGTAGATTTCTAGTGAATGCCTCGTTACATTCAATCTAGGTGCAGATTTCTGAGCTGTAAAATCTGTATTTCTACATGTAGAAATATTTTATTTATTTGACATAAAGTACTGAAGGTTTTATGGCATATCAAAGTAGATTCAACAAATATGGCCAATACCCGCGTCTTCTTGAACCTGTCATATATTTTGTCCATTAATTTATAGCTTCATGGTGGGAAAACTTAACAATAAAGTATATAACTGATAGGTTTCTGGCTCCAACAGTACATCAAAATCTACCACTTCTAAGTGCCTGGCGGGAGGGCTGGTCTTGATACATCCTCTTCCCCAAAGCAGAGAAAAAGAAACTACATCCCAACCTTGTAGCCAATTTTGAGGTCCTCACACTCCTGGGAGCAGCCAGTCTGCTTCTTGTTCAGGCACTCATTGATGAAACAGTTCAGCTCATCAGAGCCATCACCACAGTCATCGTTGTTGTCACAAAGCAAATTGTTGGAGATGCACTGCTCATTGTGGCAGAGATAAAAGGTATCATTGCACTTGCTCTCTGAAATGATAGTGAGAAGTCATTAGGACTGATCTCAAAGCAGTGGGTTTTCCTCACACACACCATGTAGCTTTCCATATTTACACCTTCAAAGCCATCCCAGAAGAGCACAACCTTCTCTGCATGTGAGTCAACTATGTTTCCAGCCATAGTTGTATATTTAAACAACCTTCTGTAAACATGACACCCAAAAGGTTTCATCACAAAGCATGATCTCACCCCCCTCTAAAAGTATATCACTATCCGTAATATTACACACAATTTAATAAAAAGTACTTAATGCTAAAAAGACCTCACTATCGAAACAACATATTATCATTAATAATTAAAGCTTAGATTGAACTCTAATTTGTTCACTCAAAGAGTACAAGCAGTTATTTTGCCCAATTTTGTTCCAATTAAGTAACAAAACAGCTACAAAATCTTCCTCAGTGTGGAGAATGTACTTATTTATAGCTTTATAAATTAAATATAACTTTTATAGCTTTAAAAATTGAGTATGACATTCATCTGTATTCATGGAACAAGTGTAGCAATCAAGACAACACATCTCTAGGACGTTGTGATCACTCCCATACTAGATAGCAATCTGACTCCTCCCTCTAGATCAGGGCTGTCAAACTCGCGGATGCATAACACACTGGCCATGCACACCCCCAGTTTAGCAAAGGGAGAAAAAGTTGTGATACATCGCGAGTTTGACACCTCTGTTCTAGATTAATTGAAGATTCCCAATGCTTTTCAAAAAGAATATAGAGTCCTGCTGCTAGATTACTAATAAACTAGGAACAGCCCAATTAAAAGAGCGCTTCATTTTGTTCTCACTCTTTCTGATCATGGACTTGCTATAAACCAATAAAAGGTCACCACCCCAACCCCAACCTCCTGGAGACCTACCAGGGCTAGAACATCTTGGATTCTTGGGGGCTTCATCAGATTGGTCATGGCAGTCAAACTCGCCATCACATTCCCAGAGTTTGTTGCTCAAACAGCGGCCATTAGCACAACGGAACTCGTTGGCGCTACAAGTGGGGTACTCTGGGGAAGGTCAAAAGGGGAGGGAATAAGAAATCAAACCATGATACAACAGTGTCTCTTTTTATCATGTAACAGGATCAACATACATTTGAAGAACATCCTGTTTGCTTTACTGTAAGTAATATTATGCCACATGCAGAAAAAGGAGTAGCGAGACAATGAAGAGATAAAAATAGGAACCTGACCAATCTAATTAAAACCAGCACTATTTACTGTACTTCTCCATATTGTTCTATCCTTGCAAATAATCCTTTCTTCCATAATATCAATTCATACATTTTCATTCCTTAACATTCCCACCTCTTTCTCTTTTTGAGGTTTTCATCAACTCTGCCCCAACCACAACTTCCTTCCCTTCTGTTCTGTAATTTGATCCCCATTTATACTCTCCACATAACCAAACTACCTAAACATAATTCTTCCATATGAATTACTCAATTTTGTATTCAGTCTATATTCATTCAGCACTTATACATTCCTGGCCTCTCTTCTATTTTATGATATACACTTCTTCAGTATCCCAAACCAGCTGCATTCAACTTCTTTTTATGTTTCTCCTGCCAGCCCTAAATCTCATTTCCAAGTGACAAAGTGGATATAGCCATCCATGACCATTTTCACTTCTTTTGAGAAACATACTAGATACTAACCGCTTACCAGCATTTTCATGTATTAGAAACATCTCCATTTTCCCACCTTCAATTAACATTCCACTGATGTACACAAATTTATCAGCTTGCTCTGGGTTTTCACCATTTATGTCTAACCTGCAATTTTTCATTCCATTTTTCTTGTCAAGCACAACTACTTTGCTATTTGATAGATCAATTTTCAGGCTCCTACCCTTCACTCCATCCTGGAATTTATATAACATTTACTAAAAACATTTTGAGTTTTCAGCAGGCAACATGGCATTGTCTGTATATCAAAATATGTACACGTTTATAACTCTGACCAATACACCTTTGCAGCAGCCTTAGAATTTATTCATAAATATACTAAACAGATTAAATATCAGACATCTGTGTTGCACACGCATCCAGGTTAGGCTTATAGTCATTCACTTATGCACATGCAGATCTCACAGTCCCTTATGTTTTATGTGTGGGATTCCCAAATAGGTGTGTCTGAAACATGCATATAAAACACTCAGCCATAGTTAACAACTAGGAAATAATTAGGAACACATGCAAATCACTTCCAACCAAACATAGGAGCACTTCAAGTTCTGATATATAAAGATCCAATGAATTCAAAGTGGCAGGAAAACTTCACTAGTTACAGTGTCTGTTTGTTCTCCCACACATTTATACAATTATTCTCACCTACCCAAGTCCTTTTCAACCAAACTATCCAGGCATTAGCTGCAACAGTCCACACAACCTTAAAATTGCCAAGGGTGAAAAACAACGAGCTAAAGGAATCAAAACTATCAAATCTAGATCCAGTATGCTTAAAAGAATGGGCAGGCTTCACCAAGTGTCCCCTTTCTTCCAAAGCCTTGGATTCACAAAATTTATAGTTGTGAATTGATTGGGGAGGGAGCATTCTGTATGTTCAGCACCGGTCCTAGCTTCATTTGTCCGTCTTCATGTGAAGTTTCTCTTTTGAACATTAAAATACACTGCTAAATGACCTAACTTGCAAGGTGAAGCAAAAACGTCTGTGCTATACCTGTTAGCTAAAATTACAGTATGGTCAAGAGATGTCTGGGGCGGTTTCTGGGGCCCCAAAACAGCTTGCTCACATGAGAACCACTACAGCAAATTGGCTCTCAGGGAACAATTAGGAAATGTCTTTCGTACATGGTGAAAGTTAATTACAACAGCAATAGCACTTCGACTTATATACCACTTCACGGTGCTTTACAGCCCTCTCTAAGCGGTTTACAGAGTCAGCATATTGTCCCTCAACAATCTGGGTCCTCATTTTACCCACCTCGGAAAGATGGAAGGCTAAGTCAACCTTGAGCCTGGTGAAATTTGAACTGCCAAACTGCTGGCAGCCAGTGATCAGCAGAAATAGCCTGCAGTACTGCACTCTAACCACTGCACCACCACAGCTCTATAATTTAACTTTTTCAAATCAAGCTATCAAAAAACCCAACAACTTGTTTCTCAATAAGCACATTTCCCTCAAAGCTCTTAAAAATTATCTACATACTAATATTAAATAATGAATTAAAATTTAATTATTTTGCTTTCAAGTTGATTTTACTTGCCCTCAGATAACCAAATTTGATTTGGCAGTAAGAAGATAAAAATTGGCGTACTGTGGCTATTCTCATGGTTAAGTACTAATTCTAGGCACTTACCACAATCTGGGGATTCATCAGACCCATCGCCACAGTCATCATCGTAATCACACACAAAATGTTTTGGGATGCACTGCCGGTTGTTGCACATAAATTCCAGTTCGTCACAAGTGTTGTTGTATACTGAAATCACAGATTACATCTGAAATCAGTTATGTCATTTCCCTCTGTGTAGTTCAGTTCTTTTCACTGGGCCACAATCAGTTTTTATTAATTGCAAACGCATGGCATGTGTACATTTTAATTTAAAAAAACCTGTGATCAAATTCATGTAATTACTTCTTTCCACTGTTCATGATACCACTCTAATGGCAGAAAGTAAAGAGGAACTAAAGAGCCTCTTGATGCGGGTGAAGAAGGAGAGTTCAAAAGTTGGCTTGAAACTCAAAATTAAGAAAATTAAGATCATGGCATCCGGTCCTCTCAATTCCTGGCAAATAGATGGGGAGGAAATTGAGGTAGTGACAGATTTTATTTTCCTGGGCTCCAAGATCACTGCAGATGGGGACTGCAGCCAAGAAATTAAAAGACTTCTCTCTAGCAGAGCGTGTGCTGTTCTATGTGTGGTATTTATGTGGTGCCTGTTGTGTGGCTTTTTAGATGTTGATTTGGATGTGTTAATGGTTGGCTTTTAAGTCATTAGTTGTCCATTCCCCTTCTGTCCAGACCTTGCCTTTTAANAGAGGAACAGCTAGAGCCTGTTCCCAGTGTGCGCATGTGCAGAGCTGCCAGAAGAAAAGAACAACTCAGAAATCAGGGTAGACTTGGGAGTAAACTCACAGGTGGAAGGTGATTGGCCCCTCCCATAGGAAATAAAAGAGGGGCAAAAAGGAAGTGGGCTTTTGCAGGAAACAACAAATTTGTTTGGTCCTTAGATTCATTTCAGGAGTGTGAAGATCTGTCCGTGAATCTCAGAGACTCTGTGCCCAGTTTTTCCTTGCACAGCAACTCATTTGGAAAATATTTACATGGCCGCTTTCCAAGATAGATAAGGTCTGTAGTCATACATATTCCTTTGAAAGACTGTTTGCCAGGCCTTGCTGAATGTGAATGAGAGGAATTCACATTCATTTAAAAAAAAGGGTTTTGTCAGGACCAGGACTCTGCCTCATGCTTTTTGGGGAAGCCTAAGTCAGAACAGGAACTGGGACCTCTCTCCTATGAGGGACCAGCCGTGTTTGCCTTAGAATGGGAAAGGATAAGAGTTTCTTGAGTCTCAAATGGAAAACAAGAAGAGCTGATCGTCTCCTTTCAGAAAGGAGCATCGCCTTCAGCCAGAAGGCAAACAGGCCAAATGGACGAGGAAACACACCTGTACATTGCTGCCATTGATGTTCATGCGGCGGATCATACTGCCCTGTGTGGTGACATCAGTCCAGTAGATCATTTGTTCCCGGTAGTCAAAGTCCAAAGCTACAGCGTTGTTCAGCCCCTAAATCCATCAAGGAAAAAAAAACCCATAAACAAACATTCTTACATGTGGCCATTCCAGAATCTGTTCAGGTGTTATATTTGGCTCTCACCCCCCCCCCCCATTACCTGTTTAAGCAATGTATAGTTGGAGCCATCCAGACTAAGCTTTCTTAGGTAGTACCGATTCGCAAAAATCAAGAAAGGTTCATCATCTGTTAAAGGAATCAAAGTTCAGAGGATCACTAAATGCTATGCACTCCCAGTGCTCCTCTAATTTCCTCATTTGTCACCTTCCTGTCACTTGAAAATTGAATTTGCTATGTCGGTGCAGAAAGATACTTCAATCTCTCCCATTATTCAGGAGATACAACATTTAAGATCTTGAAAGAGACAATAGGGGATTTAAAAAGTTTATTTACAGCAGAGGTGTCAAACTTGATTTCATTGAAGGCCGTCACATCAGGGTTGTGTTTCACCTGCAGGGGCCGGGGTGGGAATGGCCAGGATGGGCATGGCCAGCTCAATATCACTCAAGTTGGGGGATGCCTTTGGTGGCCCGAGTGCTCTGCCAGGGAAAATGGGCTCCTGAGCTCCGTTTTTGGCTACCCCGGCCTCCTGTAACCCTCTGCCAGTGAAAACGGCTCCATTTTCACTGGAAGAGGGTTGCAGGAGGCCTGGGCAGCCAAAAACGGAGCTCGGGAGCCCGCTTTTGCTGGCAGAAGCACCACAGGCAGGTTTTTCACTGCCTCTATGGCAGTCTGGATCTAAGTACTCTGGGGGCCAGATCCGGGCCCCAGGCCTTGAGTTTGACACCCTTGATTTACGGGAAGCAGGGAACTATGATATGCAATACAACTTATGGCTGGTAACTTAGTGACCATTCAAAGTTACAATGTCCCTTCCCTTGGCTACTTGGGATTTGGATTCAAAGTTCTGACAGCTGCTCTACCACCCCAGAAAACCGTAATTGCATTTTGGGTGCTCAGTATTTATATGGCTTCATGTGGCTTGGATTTACAATGTTGTTTCTTTTTTGCCTAAAATTGGAATTTACTTATGGTTTCCGGCTTATATGACCATAACCTCAAGTTTAGTTGTGGCTATAAGTCGAAGCCTACCTGTACGGGCATGTGAAGATGACAACTGCTATATTTGTAACTTCTGCAAAGAAGATTGGAAGTTGCTCTTCCAAATATCTTTTTCTTGTTTTTTTTAAATTGTTCTTCACTTTTTCTTTTACCCCTTTATCATCTTAGCTCAGTGGCTAAGATGCTGAGATTGTCGATCAGAAAGGTTGGCAGTTCAGCGGTTCGGCTCCCTAGTGCCGCATAGCGGAGTGAGCTCCCGTTACTTGTCCCAACTTCTGCCAACTTAGCAGTTTGAAAGCACGTAAAAATGCAAGTAGAAAAATAGGGACCACTTTGGTGGGAAGGTAACAGCAACCCATGCCCCTTTGGTGTTTAGTCAAACTGGTCACATGACTACGGAGACATCTTTGGACAGTGCTGGCTCTTCGGCTTTGAAACGGAGATGAGCACCGCCCCCTAGAGTCAGGATCGAGTAGCATATAAATGCAAGATGAACCTTTACTTTTAATCTTTTTTAAAATTTCTTCTTCATTGTTTCTATGGTTTTAAAAATCTTTATAAAGTAAAGGGACATTAGACTTGACTCAGCAGCACGCACAAAAAAGAAACAATTTAAGACAAACCTGGTCAGAACATAAAGAGCTCTTTCTGCAAAAATAATTATTTATCTAAAAGCACAAACTCTTCCTTCCTCTTACCTGCATTTCTTTTTTCCTAGAAATTCCAGCTTAAATGTGAGACACTGAACAATGATATTCTACTCTTTTCTCAGTCTGAGTCCATAGCTTCTCTTTGTGTCTGGTTCAGAGAATTGTCAGTCCTGCTTCTTTTTTTTTTTTATAAATAATTTATATTATTTATAAAAAAAAAAAAAGAAGCAGGACTGACAATTCTCTGAACCAGACACAAAG